ATATTTATCTTTTGCGAAATCTGTAATTATTTTTGCATAAATGATAGCATATTTGCTGTAACATGGCAACTGTGTTGTCAGAGGATTTTGGAATGAGAACATCCTGATGTCATGAGACTTGTGTCCAGAACAACTTTACTACCAATACAGTCATAAGCTCAGTTTAACCAGAAACTACAGAAACGGGTAGCAAATAATATATCTTGTAGCCAGAATCCACCTCTACGATAGTACACATTAAACAAAGAATATTATTCTTATTGGATACCAAAGTAAAGAACCACGTTACGATTTTGGTACCAAGCATCACGCAGAGTCAAACACGGCTTAACAAGATCTGCCCACACACAGATTTCCTCAGTAGACACCACAGCAAAATCGCTCCTCAGTTCACAAAGTAATGGATCTCTCACAGAGAGACGGTAACATGCAGGCCGACACAGAAGTACAAGAGTCTCGTCTCCTACATAAATAAGCAAGAGGGTTAGTCTTCATCCAAGAATGGGGTGGACAGGGGGGATAGTTGGTATGGGTAGGAAAGCCACCCCAGTATCTAATACCCAGAAGCCACTGTCCAGTGGTGCAAGTTCATTGTGATTTTCTTCTTATCCTAAAAGAACAGAATGAAACGAGCTGCTGACAATCTGTCAAAGGTTGGAAAAGGTATAGGACATTGAACAAAACAAAAAAAATCCAGACTTCCACACCACATTTGTTAAGAGTGGGGGGGGGCTGTACCAATGTTTTTAAAATAAAAATACTACAATTAAATTAACACCTTCAGTGTATTTTAAGGAGCATGCAATATCATGACAAAAACGTATCAGTAGAATCTGGAGGATTTAATACTTGTCAAAGGCAAACAAAAAACCCTCCTCTCAGATAAGAGGGATCCTAGACAGGAATGCTCCACATCTGCAAGAACACAGCATACATACATAGCATACATATGTAACATACATAATCCCAAATATCAGCATGCGTTAAATTAAGTACAGAAACTTTATGCATTACCCCTCCTGTCTGGAAGAAGCTACAGAACAAGAAAAGTCATCAACATTTTAGTGAATCTGGGATGGCAGGGCCCTAAGCTCTAAGACTTTAGCCTCCAGGGGTTGCACAGAAGACAAATGGAGGAAACTGGAGGAAACCTCTGTGGGGTGAGCAGCGCAGGCAGCGGCCTGCCTCAATTCCCAGGAATCTCGAACGAGCTGCACGGACTCTGGGAGAGAGGGAAGCGTACAGAAGTGCCAGCCAAGGCACAAGGAAAAAAATGTAGAAATTTGAGTGCGTCTTTCTTCCTTTGGAGATTGCACTTCTTTTCTGAAGCGTGGGGCCTTTTAAGAGTTGTCCCAGAGAGTGCTCCAAGTGCTGTGGGAAAACAAATGGCACATGTGTGCTTCTGATTGTGCCTAGAGCAGAATCTCTCCTCTACCATGTACAGCAAAGACTTGCGCTGAACCTCAACGCAAAGCACAGGAGCCCTACCCAAACTTCAAGGGCAACAAGCAAGGACACTTCAGTGACCCAGTGTCCTTGCAGAATTCACCAGTCATGTGCAAATCCCAAGATTTACCCAAGCTGGGGGAGTCTGAAGGAACCAGCGGTAGTTTCAGACAGACAGCAGTTGAGTACCTGTCTCAGAAGATACTATAGGGAACACTCCAAGGCTCAGACGCACTTTGCCAGCAACTCAAAAGCTCAGGCATCCACTGTTGAAATCTCACGAGTCTGTTTTCTTTAGCCTCAGAACTAGTACATCAGCTTTTTGAACGACCTAAGACCAAGGGGTAGAGATAAACTGCATTGCCAAATAACCTTCAAAGGTTATTTCATCAGGTTCACCATCACTACGCTGTTTTCTTAGCATAGCTTCCCTGCCCTCTGATATTCCCATCCTTGATTCATCCATTCAACCTTTGCTCAAATAACCGCCTCAGTCAGACTAGAAAAGCACGGTGGGGATTCTTCCCAGGAAATCTGCATGAATACATGGGCTTGCAGAGGAATAAGAAATATCATCAACATGCAAATAAGCCAGGAAAAGTTTAAGATTATATGTCTCCTAGCCTTCCTCAAATCCTTCTCCTTCTACACCACCAAGGCTCTCACCTTACCCTCCCCAGACTTCTCCCACATACACCCAAGATCACAGGAGCATCAAGTTTACATCTGCTGAAGATTTTTGCGTTTTACTTAGAAGGATTTTCGTAGTTCTAGATTCACTTATTAACCAAAAACTGCTTAAAGGATTAATAATGCAGCACATTTTTAACATATACTAGCATGTCTCGGGCATTTTAAAACACCTGGGAATTTAAGAAAGCCACACTTAATAGTTTCCCTGTCCACTTTTCCTGAGTGCCTATGAACTAGGGCTACTCACGCAGCATGTAACACCACTTTGCACGGGCATCCAGAGCTACCTCCGAAGAACTGGGAAGGAGCCCACCTCCAGATGCAAAACTTCATCACTGTACAAAACGCGGCTGGCCGCCACAGCCTGGAAACGCATCCACGTCCAGCCGCACGATATACCCACCACCTCATGGAGCTTTAAAGATCATACGCTGACCAAAGGATTAGAAAGTATGAGAAAGCAAGACATGTTACCATTTTATTACCAGGGAAATAGAAGTACTTTGTTTATTCAAAACCCTTTCCTACTCCTCCTCCTGTGAGGAGAGGTTAAAATATAAAGGGCTACTCCTGTACACAGAACATTAAATGAATTTATATTTGCGTTTTTAAGGTCTTGAGGAAACAGAAAGGCCAGAACTGAAAGCAATCAGTGCACTGAACCAGACAGCTAAAACAACAAAAACCACAGAACAATGAACTCTTATTTCCCAAGTTTAGATGTCACCATTACACTTTCCTATTCATGCAGCATACTGCGTTTTGAAAAGCTAGACTGTTTTTCTCTGCCTGAAAGGAATACAAAGAGTTCCTATTTTTTTTTCTAACTACTTTGGTAGTTAGGAAAACAAAAACTGATGGAGTGCAAACCACTGAACAGGAGAAACCTTTGGCAGGTTGAGAATCTGACATATTGGAAGGTGGGTTCAAAATACAAAGCTAAGAAATGAAAATACTGTACATCTCCAAAATCTTATGTGAGAATTCCCCCTGCAGCATCCCAGATGGTGTGTGTTTTTTGCCTTTTAATTTGAAGAGCTGTGAGACAACCATAACACAACCAAACAGTGGAAAGTAACATCAGTCATCTTCTGCCATGGCCCCCCCTGCATCACCTCGCACGGCGCGTTTTTCATTTGAAGAGTTAAATCATGCGATAACTGCGACATGATTAAGCAGAGGGAAGCAGTATCAGTCACCTTCTGCAATGAACCACAGAGAAGAGAAAGTAATGCAATAAAATGGGCTATTAACACTGAACATTGGATATATGGAAGCAACTGCTCCTTGCCACCTGCGTTAGTCCAACCCATCACTAGAGAAAACACTTCCCTGTGCACTAACTTCTAATGACACACATGCATCTACCCAACCATAAATGTTCACACCATCTGTTCTCGTCACAGTTGAGCTCTCAAGCCAACTTCCAAGTCAGGCTGACCAGAGTTCACATGGCTCTGATCCACCAGCTCTTTTGCAGCTCGTTATTCATTTGCAAAGAGAATTACTAAGCCAACAGAGTGGTTCCTTTCGGATAAGGTCTGCCACAGACAGGACCCAACTCAGTACCCAAAATATTTTGTCAATTAATGCTCATGTATTTCTAAAATGTTTTAACTAATGTGTTTCTTCTGTCTCTCAGATGTTTGGGGTTTTCTTCTGGTTTTCTCCTCTTACAAGCTTTTGCAAATGTGCATAAAATTATATGGTTCACAGAAATTTTTCAGCAACTGCCTGGAGACTCATTATGCTTCATCAATTATATTACCATATAAATATGGCACTAAAAGCACCAAACAAATAAAGGAAAGATGCAAATTTCAGATAGTTACAGGAAGGTGAAGTGGCCACTGAATATTCTTTAGTGGCAAAGGGTCAATGTGAAGTTAAATCATCAAGAAAAAAAAGGCTCCCCGTTATGCTATTTCTTCTCTTGAATATTCAGTTACATCCTTCACTTATTTACAAGGTTATGCAACCTTGCTGTCTCCCACCCCATCCATCACACCTCAGAGAGCATTTTGTGCATATCCACTGCATATAAAGAGGCAAAAATAGCTGACAGTTGCCCTAATTCAGTAACATGGATTCGTTGTTTCTAGATCACTGGGTCGTAAGGTTGCTTAAAGGTGACCCACCAGCCCCTGAACTTCTTTCCTGCAGAACTGGTAAGTTCACCAGGTCATCAAAAAAAAAAAAAAAAAAAAGGTTTTCACTCTCTCACAGTTCAGGACAGTATAAGCAGCAAACATTACAAATGAATGATAAACCCACGGGGTTTCCAAAAACACATTTTACAAGACAGTTTCTCCTAGCATCCTTTTCTGATTTTCTCTCTGCAGATGCCAGAGTCATTCTTCTTCCAGAAGTACAACTAGAAATACCAGCACTCTGCCTCTTGCTAATCACAGGTAAAGGGAAGAGCAGAGATAAAGAATTGGACTTCTAACCCATAGGCAGCCTTTTTTGGACAGAAAGGAGCTTTTTTTCTTTCAACCTCTTTTTTTTTCCCCTTCTTAAATGCTAGGCATTTCAGAGAGCTTCGGGAAAGAAATCAACATTGCGACAGATACGTGTATAAAAATAGGATGTAAAGCATCCTTTAAACTGGAAAATAAAGCAGGCTTTCAGAAAGGCAGAACTACAAGTCAAGCATTTTATTACTGTATTTCCACCACCTGCTCTCCTGTGCTCTTTCCCGCCTCCCCACCTAGAACTACAGACAAGTCCATGAATTAGGCAGGAAAGTGTTCTGCAGGACATAGATAGCAACTACAGAACCAGAATAACCCTACTAACCCAGTTTTATAGACCATGTCATCGGGCAGTATAGATCAAGCAGATTAACATTCGGAGCTTACCATTTCGAGACAAATCAAGTTCCACCAGCTGCATGAAATTCGCTATTTCTGGAGGGAGCCGCTGGATTTCATTATCACTAAGTCCAAGCTTCCGTAACTTCACAAGTTGGAAGAAAGGCTGAAAGAAAGAAAAAATTTCATGTCAGAAAATATTCATATAACTCAAATAAAAGCATGGTAAATGATAAGCAATAACTGAAAGCAGCTTTCAAAATTTGAGCTAATTAAAGTTATTGCTTAAAATCCGATATGCAGACCTCTTTCATACTTGCATCAGAATGGGCATTTTGCTTTAATTTTCACATGCGAACAGAATATAATCTGTGTTCTACCTAAAATGAAAATTTATTTTAAGAATAAAAAAAAAAACATTCGTAAAGCTTGCTATTAAAGATCACAGCAGACAGAGACTAGTGAAATCCAGAGTGCCTGCTTCAAAATCATTAACGGGGTGAGGTTACCCCGCAGCATAATTAAAAGCATCCTAATTACACACCGGGGCTCATTAGGAAGTTAATGCAGAGGGACACTTCTAAAGGACGATCCAGAAAACCCACAGAGAGGGGCTGCCAAGGTCTTCTTCACCGGCAAGCACCATAACCATCTAGGTTACCGAGCCAGCCTCCCATGGGAAGACTTTCTTTCCAGCCTCATGCACCTCCTGCTCCGTGGCCCAGTTTCAGAAGGACTAATGAAAGTTGGGCAGCATACGCACAATTCCAGGTCTTCCCAGTTTGAGTAGGAACCCAAGCCAGCCCTGTCTCTACGCTGAGGTTGTGGACACGCAATGCAGGCAGGACACTAACTTTCCTGGACTCCCAGCTCTGGGCTCAGAGGGTCTGGCAGACCCCAAGGCAAAACAACCGTCAAAGGAGACAGGCCAACCTACAAGTCAGGTCAACCCCAGGCCCTGGGAGCAGTTGGCGACGAGAAGACAAAATGGCCATTAAAACCCTACCGAGACGTAGGCATCCCTAGGAAAGTTGGAGAGCTCTTATCACACCTTTCCTCTCTTCCAGGCAGGCCTTTGAATGACAATGACTGCAGATGGTGAAGATTTGTACAGAATTAAATGACTTGATATATAAGTCATCTTGACCATAACTGACCAGACTCCTCAAATTTTGAGTGAGTTTTGTGCCCCTTGAGCGCACAGGCATTTTTGCCCAACAGTTAGAACCTGTGCATCTCACCCACCATGGTACCCTCGTGGGTTTTGCCCCTTAGGGTAACCAGAAGGTGCTATTAAGATTGGGATATCTGCTTACATTTAACCACCTGCAATCCTTTCTTGGAAATTAGCACCTATTATTATTATTATTATTTTATTTATGTGCTATAGTGCATGCTCTGAATGTCACTCATTTCTATCTTAGATTGACAGGAAAAGGGGCAGTAAGATAGGCATCTTACTAGGACACAAGGTAACAGCACAGTCTTGAAAACCTATATCATAATACAGATTTTCAATCTTAGTTTGAGTGTCTTATAACCAAGATCATAAATCAGGTTTTAAGCGCAAGGTTTTTACAGCTTCAGCACCAGTCTTTCAATATACATTGTTGTTCCTCATCACATAAAAATAAAACACAACTGAAATCAATGTGGTTTGCCTCAAAACCATGGGTTCCTTTTAGGGAATAAAAAGGATAGAGCTTTAAAAAGTTTAGAAACACTCAGCAGTCAAAAGATGCGCCATATTCAAATGCGAGAAGTCCAAAGGTATTTTCTGAGTCAAAATGGCACTACTTCTTGCCCAAGTATCAAATGCCTTTGGTAACAGAGTTGAAATTGTAAGAGGAAAATAAAAAGAAAACTTTACAATTCTATATTTCTAGCTCCCTAAAAACATATATGGCAATTAAAATAGCCGCAAATGGTTTTTTTAAATCTTTCTTTGTCCTCACAAGATCCATAACTGAATTTTCATATAATTAATTTTTTTATCTTCTAAAAAAAATGCATCCCTTTTCCTAAATATTTATTAATATGACTAAACCAAGAATCCATCAGAAGCTTAGAAAAGTACTTAAAGATACTTCTGTGAAAACACAGCAGGAGTACACTCCACAGAAGAGATCCCAATCTGTCCTAACACTGTCTAAAATCAATACTTGCCAAAAAGCGTTCCTCAGCCAGTGTGTAGCTGCTAAACTGTATGACAGCTACAAATATTGATGTTCTACTACAAATCTTCTCATAAGCAACAATTGTCCTTGCCAGAGATGCTCTACAATGGCAAGTGAGAAAAGGCAGAAGGAAGACGGTTAAAAGGCAGAAGGAAGACGGTTAAAAGGCAGAAGGAAGATCAAAAAACTATTAAGAGCTAGGCATCCCTAGGAAGGTTTGAAGGCCCTCACCACACTCCACGTGTCAGTGTTGTATGTCGTTATTAAATGTGCAGAGCACATGTGTGCAACAAACAAAATCACACAATATTTAAAGGCTTTTCCTGTTTCTTTAACTGACTACTTAAAAGAAAAATGAACTGGGAGCTCGCTTTCCAGTTTGCATAACAATTTTTAATGAATGACACCATCTCCTAGATAAAATCAGAAACTTCAGTTATGTGAATGGCATTTCTTTGAACTTCTTGTTTGTTTTTTTCCTTTAAACTACAGAACTCAAGCAGTCTTGCATGTTTAGTACATCCTACTCTCATGTCAGTAACTATTCTTCCTTTATCCAAGGCACATCATTAGTGCTCTAAAGCACTGCTGGAGGGGCAAGCACCTCCTTTTTGCCATATTTCTTTTACCTATCAAAAAGACCACAGGGAAGACAGAGAATTAAGAGCTCACTGAAGAGAGTTCAACACATATAAACATATATATACATATATGTGTGTGTATATATATAAAAATATCTGCAATTTCTTAAATATATGCCAACCAGAAACACGTTCCTAATTCAATATATCACAGTTCAGTCACTATTTGAAAAGCTGTAACACGAATCAAAGGGCAATGGGGTTGCACATCCACCCAGCACGCTGTAATAGCAGGTTTTGATTGCAGACCCGACGTCTCTACGAATATCTTGGCAACACTTTTAACACTGCTTAGTTTAGTCAGCCTAATTAATAGTGCTTCAATGAGACAAATCATTCCATGAGCATCAGCACTAAAGAAGCCTACAACTTTCTATTCAGCGGCAATTGCCAACCTTCAGTTGAAGCTTTTCCTGCTATCAAAGAATTTATAGAGGTTTCTCTTAGATGGATTTTCTAAAAGCACACATCTTGAATTGAGCCCTTCTCACACTGGAAGACTAACGAAGTCTCTCTCAGCCACATATTATTTAAAAAACTTCCTTCTGACAAAATTGGGTTGATGTCAGCCAACGGAAGAAAAAAAATAAGAGATAAGTGCGTGACTCACTGAAAAGTATAAACAGACGGTGTGATCCCACAGTCCTCATTTTTCATACTTTTTTTTAAAAGGATACCACTACAACTGGCACTCAATTCTAGAGTTAACAGAATTAAGCCAAACTAGTAGGATTGATAAAACTCAAGATTTTCTCCTGTGCAAGCAGCCAAAACAACCCATGTCTCTGGCTTTCTTTCAATGGTTCACTCCTGCAACAACAAACATTCATGCCCAAGAATCTTGCCTGAATGTTTCAGCACCTTTTTGGGGGGGGGGGGAAGGAAATGGATTAAAACAATAGGCAATTGAAATAAAAAAGACAGGAGGGCACAAAGACCTACTTGCAGTTAACGCTGTTTAAGGGAAGGAGCAACATCTCCCTGCTACAGCCTTTCCAGTGCTAGAGACGTGTCAGGCTCCGAACTCATTTGGCATAGACAGCATAACTAAATGCTTACTGTCTTAAGCAAAATGTTTCCATAAAAAGGCTACTACTAGCAGCAAAGAGATTTAAAATTAGAACCTTTATGAAATCCACTGCCTAATTTTCAAGATTGGGCCAGCAGCAGCAGTAGAAATTAGAACGAGAGGGCCAGGAGGAAGAAAACTGCAAATTAACTCCAGTCTCAGGGTTATATTCACACAGGATAGAAAGAGGTTTTTTGGTTTTGGGGTTTTTTTTGGTGCAGGCACTTGAGCTGTTGCTGACAAGCTTAAAAATTTGTGAGTACTTACTCTTATGTCAAGTTTCCCTTAGACACCAATATGGATTTTCAACATACACATGCTGCCTCAGCTTTTAAGGCTTTTTCAGGAAATTACAGTGTTATATTCAAACAGGAATGAACGAAACCACCAAGACACAGTACATTACTAGGTCTTGCTTCTTAAACACCATTTATATTTATTTCACCCATTTTCCAAACCTATAACTGACCAGCTAAAGGATATCTGAATTTTAGAATTAAAAAGCAACATATGGTAACTTAAATGTAATTTAACTCCTAATTGCATTTCTGCTTCAAATCTTATTTCAGGCTCCATTTTCTTGCTTACAACGTAAGACAAAAATTAATGGGAGAAGCCTTCACCTTATTTGTTCACTTCCACTCACCAGCTACGTGTCCTCCTTCACTCACCGGATAAAGGGAATTGCAATCAATCCTTCCCCCCGCCCCTCTTTATACTGCCTCGGAAAGACCTCGGAAAAAGGTCTTTCTTCAGGCAAACACAAGCAGAAGTTGCAATTTGATTTTGCTAAGCAAAGCGGTAAAAGAGATAAAGCATCAAATCCATGAAACAACCTCCCAGTACGGCTGACACAAAGCTCTCCAGCTCCCTCGTCACTTGCTTTTGGCCACTAGAAGTTATTTTTTTTTGCCTGCACCGTTCCACAGCTTCACCAAGAGAGCAGGGGAAGTCCAACCTTTATTCAGACAAACACACTGCCTGGTGGTCAGGACACTACGAGGAGAACAAAGATTAAATCAGGTAAGGCAGAAGCAGCACGGAATTCCAGTGTTCTGCTTCCTAGGAATGTGTTTAATAACCAGGCTCTGGTACAGGCATACGTACAAACATATTCCCTCATCTGTCCAAAGGGCAAAGGCCAAGAGGGAAGGGCGAGAAGGGTGAAGGCCAAGAGGGAAGGGCGAGAAGGGCCAAGAGGAAAGGGTGAGCTTTTCTTCGTTCCTCCCCGACTCTACCGTTGTAGAAGTCATCAACAGTCAACTCTTTGAAAGAGCAG